TTGGGATAAACACCCGACACCCAAAATAAAGGAAGGAAAGGTTTATTTAGCTCACAGTTACTGGAGGTTTCAGTCTCTACTTGGCTGGCTGCAAGGTCGAGAGGCACAGGGCAGAGAGCATCCATCCATTCATGGCAGCAGCAAAGAGGAAGAGAGCAAAAGGGAGGAGTAGCAGCAACAATGGCTACAGAGAGCGAGTCTGTCTCCCTTATGTCACATTCATGCTATCTGCCATAGCTCGGTATAGCACTCAGACCCATAATTCCAGCAGTACTCAGACCCATAATCCCAGCAGTACTCAGACCCATAATCCCAGCCTTGGATCATGAATTAATCACAAACTATAGAATTGCACCTCAATGATTGCATGAGGCTGGGGGGGGGGACAAATACATACAAACCATAACACCCACCAACAGTATAAAAGCCCCGTCCCCTCCCCCACTGCCCAACAACACACTTTGGTAGCATCCACTGTTTTTGTATTCTTTTTTTAAAATAAGATTATTTTATAATAGCCACCCTAAAAGTCATATACAAAGAGAATACAATTAATCTGTCCATACACTAAACCAAAAGAGTCCAGATAAGGTCCTGGATAAAAGTTTTTGTATTCTTAAAGATAGCCATTCTCGCTGGGGCGAAATGGAATCTCAGTGTTGTTCTGATTTGCATTTGCCTAATGGCTAAAAAATGTTGAATATGTTTTCATAATTTTTTTTTAAAATTATTTGTTTATTTATTTATTGTGTGTGTGTGTGTGTGTGTGTGTGTGTGTGTGTGGCCAGCTCAGCCTACAAGGGGGTGGTGCTGGCTGGCATGTGGTGCTGGGGGATTGAACCACGGTCCCTGTGCTTTGCTTAGCTTAGCTTGTTCTAAGTAGGTGCTTTAGACCACTGAGCCATCTCACCAGCCCCAATATATTGTCCATTTTTTTTTTTTTTTTTTTTGGTGGGACCGGGGATTGAACTCGGCTTGCCAGGCAAGCGCTTATTCTACTGAGCCATCTCCCCATTTTCATAAATTTTGATTGACCACTTTTACTTCTTTTGAGAAATATCCACTCAATTCATTTATTGAATAGCTTATTAGATTTTTTAGAGCTTTTTTAGTTCTTTATATATTCGAGATATTAATCTCCCACCAGGGGTGTTGCTAGCAAGGCTATTTCTCCATTTTATAGGTTGTCTCTTAACTTGTTTGGTTGTTTCTCTTGCTGTGCAGAAGCTCTTTAACTTGGGGCCGAGGAGATGGCTCAGTAGAATAAGCACTTCTCTGGCAAGCGCAAGGGCCTGAGTTCGATCCCTGGTTCCACCAAAAAAAAAAAAAAGAAGTAGTCCCTCTTGTTGATTCTTGATATTATTTCCTATGCTATTGAGGTTCTATTCAGGGAGTCTTTGCCTGTGTCTATGACTTCAAGTGTTTCCTGTCTATTTTCTTCTAGCAGTTTCTTGTCTTACCCGTACCTCTTTGATCCACTTTGATTTCATTTTTTAGTACTGAATAGGGTGAGGGACAGGGATGTAGTTTCAGTCTTCCCTATGTGTAGATCCAATTTTTCTAGCACCATTTGTTAGAGCGTTATCCTCTCTTTAATGTATCCTTGTGGTCCCTCTGTCAAAAATCAGGTGACTGGATTGCATGGGTTTGTTTCCATTTTTTTGTTCTATTGCATGCTTTATGCGTTTCTGTCTTGGTGTCCATACAGTGTTGTTTTTCTTGCTACAACTGTGTAGTATAATTTGAAACCAGGTATTGTGATGTCTCCAACATTGCTTAGGGTGCTGGGGCTCTTTTGTTCTTTCATATAAATTTTAGGAATTTTTGTTTTGTGTGGCATTTTTTTTTCTCCCAATGCCTTCAGGGCAGGTTTGGCTGGCTTGAGTTGTGGGGATGGAACCACAGCAGCCTGAGCCTGACTGCTTTGTTGTGCTTGCCAGGGAAGCGCTTATTCCACTGAGCCATCTCCCCGGCCTCGTAAGTTAGATTCTTGTAGCATTCTCAGTGTGCAAGTTACTATAGGAAGTGACTTATTTTTCACTATGCTTAAGAATATTACAGGTGACAAATTGTGAAAATCCAGTTATTGTAGAAAAAAAGACTATGATTACAAATTTAATTGTGCCCAGAATTAACCACTGAGTGAATTAGCAATTCCAAGCATTTTTAGAGGCCAGGGAGGTGGCTCAGTGGAATAAGCGCTTCCCTAGCAAGCACAAGGGCCTGAGTTCAATCCCTGGTTCTGCAAAAAAAGAAAAAAGAAAACAAAAAACAAAAAACCAAGCATTTTTAAAAAATGTAGCCATGGGGCGCTGGTGAGATGGCTCAGTGGTCTAAAGCACCTACTTAGAACAAGCTAAGCTAAGCAAAGCACAGGGACCGCAGTTCAATCCCCAGCACCACATGCCAGCCAGCCCCCTGGTGGGCTGAGCTGGCCACACACACACACACAATAAATAAGTAAATAAACAAACAAATAAAAAAAAATGTAGCCATAGGGTACATTTGCAAAGGGTAGGTCAAATATATATCTTTAGGCCTCCTAGCAAGAAAAGGAAAAGTGAATACCTCGTTATCCAATTTACAGTATTCTGCCTATGCAATAAAATTGGCTGCTGCTCAGAAGAAACTCGGCTGCTCCAGGTTTGGAAATCTCCACGGAAACCTTACAGGTATGATAGAAAGGATGTTAGCTAACCCCTATGAACACAAGTTTAATCTCTTTTTTTGTAGAGCCCTGGAATGCTAGCTGATAAATATCTCCAAAGAAAATTTAGAAGTTACAGTTCTAGGAAGGGCCAAAACAGGGCTAGCCAAGTATGCAGGCCTGAGCCCGGGGTAATATTTAGCACAGCTAGTGGAATGGATAGACTCTGTGTCCCAAGGCAATACTCCAAAAATACTCTTTCTCAGAACTGAATTTTTTCATGATGTTTGGACAAGGGAGAGAATATGATTATAATCTAGGTAAGGAATCTGGGGAGCAAAGTGTCTGGGTGGCAGATGAGGTGCCCCTCCAGAGAGTAAGGAAATGTTTCATTTATGGAAATGGTAGAACGCGCCCCATGGCTGCGCCTCTAACGGCCAACTCGCTATGGCCCAGAGAGGGCTCTAGGGACCCTGCCAACCTGCTCACCGGTTTCACTAACTAGTGTTTGCGTAAGCAACATATACAGCTACTTGCCCTTTAATTTTTAAATGTTAGCAGCTCCAGTAGGTGGACATATAAGGGGGCCGGTAAAATCCACAGAAAAGTTTGGGAGGTATGAATGGCCTTCATTGGTTTAAGTTACCATAATGTTATGATGCTTTTTTTTTTGCCCCGAATGCCTTCAGGGCAGGTGTGGCTGGCTTGAGTTGTGGGGATCGAACTGCAGCAACCTGAGCCTGACTGCTTTGCTGAAGCAGCCACTTAAAGAACTGAGCTACGGGGTGGGCCCCCAATGTTATGATGCTTTAAGCTGATATCAACTCCAATTGTTTTTGTTGAATAGATACCTTAAAATCTATTTTAGTTTATTGATATATGTGCACTGTAATATTGTTTATGTGCCTTGTGGGGAGTTGGTGAATGTACATAGCATATTTTAATTTTTTTTTTATTCCTCTCCCTTTCCTTCCTCTCCCTTCCATCCTCTCCTATCCACCTCTCCTCTCCTCTCCCCTCCCTTCCTCTCCCCTCCCCTCCCTTTCCTTCTCTTCTCTTCCCTCTCCCTCTTTCTCCTTCCCTTCCCTTCCTCTTTCCTCCCCTGCCCCCCTCCTTTTCTTTCCCCTTTTCCCTCCCCTTCAGCTTTCTTCCCCTTCCCCTCCTCATTCATTTCTCTTCCTCTTCCCCTTCCTCTTCCTTCCCTTCCCCCTCCCCCTTCCCCCTTTCCCTTTTCCTTCCCCTCCCTCCCCTTCCTTTCCCTCCTTTTCCTTCCCTTCCCCCTCCCTCCCCTTACTTTCCCTTCCCCCTTCTTCCCTTCCCCCTTTTCTTCTCCTCCTCTCCTTTCCTTTCCTTTCTTTCCCTCCCCTTCCCCTTTCCCCTTCTCCCTTCTTCTTTTCCCCTTCCTCTTTGCATTTCTCTTTTTGCCCTCCCCTCCCCTCTTTTCCTTCTCTTTCTTTCTCTTTTCTTGCTTATACTTCATGTGTGGAGTTGGTACATGTATCTTACACATCCCAATTCTCTTTCTGTTTCATCCCTTATCTCTTCTCTGTCCCTCCTCCCTCCATCCCTTGATCCCCTTCCTGTTTGAGAATGAACTGTCTCCTTACGTCCTATTATCTCTTTTATTTTATTTTATTTTTTTGGCAGTACCGGGGATTGAACTCAGATCCTTGTGTTTGCCAATCAAGCGCTTATCCTACTGAGCCATTTCCCCGGCCCCTATCTCTTTTATTTTAGTCTTTATTTTTTCTCTGGATTTCTCATATAAGAGAAACCATGTGATACTGAAGCCTGTGTACCTCATTTATTTCACTTAACATTTTGGTCTCCAGGTGCATCCATTTTTCTACAAATGACTCAAGTTTATCTTTTTTTATGGAAGAGAAGTACTCCATTGTGTGTAAATACCACATTTTCTTTACCCATTCATCTGTTGATGACACATGGTCCACTTCCAAGATTTAGTTCTTGTGAATTGTGCTATTACTAAACACAGATACGCATATGTCATTGTAATATAGTATCTTTAGCTCTTGTGGGAAGAAACCTAAAAGGGGAATAGCTAGGTGGAAAGGAACTTCTAGTTTTATTTTTTTTATTTTTATTTATTTATTTTTTTAAGCTTTCAGCTACACAGATTTATTTTATTTTATTTTATTTTTTATTTATTTTTGAGAGAGAGAGAGAGAGTGGTGTGTGTGTGTGTGTGTGTGTGTGTGTGTGTGGCCAGCTCAGCCCACCAGGGGGCGGGGCTGGCTGGCATGTGGTGCTGGGGGATTGAACCGCGGTCCCTGTGCCTTGCCAAGCTTGTTCTAAGTAGGTGCTTTAGACCACTGAGCCATCTCTCCAGCCCCTACACAGATTTATTGAATGTAAAACTCTATACACAAAGTAACCTGGACCTGCTGCCTCAAAACACGATCCTTTTCTAATATCCTGATAGACTGGTTACAAAGCAACTTAATCTAAAATAAATAGAAAAATGCCCAGTTACATCAGATGTAGGGCCTAACCAGTGAACTCTAATAGTTCTACAAGACAGTTAACAGGCAGGACCGAGTCTCAGTGAAGGGGTGCTGAAGAACGGACAGGAGGCGCTAGGAGGCCATCTTGTGCACTGCGACTGTGACGCTGTCATTCCTCTGGATCATGATGTTCCCATTATCTGATTCTAGACACACCACAGGAATATCAGTGGGGTCAGAGGTCAGTTTAGCTGCCTGCTGAGCCAGGACGGATATCACCCCAGCGTGCTCATCTGATAGCGTCCCTCGGCAGCCCAGATTAAGTCCTTGTGAGTCTGTGCACAGGACTCTGACAATGGAGGGATTCTTCATTGTGTCCTCCAAATGCTGCTCTAAAGTCGCCTCCATCCTGCCTGCGTCCACCCTACCCCGGACCCGGCTGCCCGGCGCGCCCCGCACAGCCTATTTTTATTTTTTTTGCAGAACCAGGGATTGAACTCAGGCCCTTGCGCTTGCAGGGAAGCGCTTATTCCACTCAGCCATCTCCCTGGCCCCTAGTTTTATTTTTTGAGGAATCTTCACACTGATTTCCAGAGTGGTTATATTAGTTTACATTTCCACTATTGTTGCAGAAGTTTTTCTCTTTCTCTGAAGCCTCACCAGCATTTATTGTTATTTGATTTCTTGATGGTCAACATTCCTTTAGGGCTAAAACGAAATCTCAGTGTTGTTTTCATTTGCCTTTCTCCATGGTCAGCGATGTTGAACATTGCTTCGTGTATTTATTGACTGTTTGTCCTTCTTTTGTGAAGTGTCTGTTCATTTCACTTGTCCACTTTTTTGATTGGGTCTTTTATTTCGGAGAGTCTAATTTTTTAAATGCTTTATATATTCTATATATTAGCCCTCTGAGAAGCAGCTGGCAGAATTTTTCCCCATTCTGTACGTTGTCTTTTCATTCTGTTGGCTGTTTCTTTTGCTGTGCAGAAGCTTTTAATTTGATATGATCCCATTTGTAGGTTCTCAGTACTATTCCCTGTGCAACTGGAATTCTGCGCAGAAAGTCTGTGCCTATGATTATCCCTCCAAGAATTCTATGTTACCTTCCAGCAAATTAATTGTTTCCATCTTAACATTTGGATCTCTGATCCATGTTTTTAAAATGTATTTAGGACAAGGTCTACAGGGTCTACAGGGTCTCACTATGTAGATCAGAGTCATAGTGATTCTCCTGTTTTCTGCCTCCCAAGCGCTGGGATTACAGATGTGTGCCACCATGCCCAATCTCAGTCACTGTTTCAGCACACCCCGGGAGCAGGTCTGGCACAGCACGCTGGGGATCGAACCCCAGCTGCTGCACTCGGACTAAGCAGGCGCTTTAATCCGCTGAGCTATCTGGCCTGCCCTGATCCATTTTTATTCTAGTTTAGTACGTGGTGAGGGATACAGGCCTAGATTTAATTGTCTGCATGTGGATAGCCAGCTTTCCCAGCACCATTGATTAAAGAGAACTTTTCTCCAGTTAATGCTTTTGACTTTCTTTTCCTTCCTTCCTTCCTTCCTTCCTTCCTTCCTTCCTTCCTTCCTTCCTTCCTTCCTTCCTTTCTTGTAGCTTGCTCAGCCCCAGGTATGGCATATGGTGCCAGGGACTGAACTGCAGTCCCTGAATGCTTACCTAAACTTGCCTAAGCAAGCGCTTTAGACCTGTGAGCCATCTTGATGGTCCCTGGAGTTTCTTTCACATCCTTTAGTATTTTGTTCCATCAATTTTCATGTCATTTTGTGCCCGTACCATGATGTTTTTCCTTAAATCACTGTAACTTTATAATATAACCTCAAATCTGGGATTGTGATGTTTTCCATTTTGCTTTTTAGTCAAGATTGCTTTGGCTGTTCTGGATCTTTCCAGGCAATTTTAGGTTTTGTTTTTTTTTTTTTTTTTCCAGTTCTTGGGAAGGCTGTTGAAATTTTGATTTGAGGTTGTATTAAATCCCATCTATCAATTTTGAAGTATGGCCATTTTCTGGCCATTTGTTCTGTGTATCCTGGAATAGAGGATGTCTTTCCATTTTCTAATGTCCTCTTCAGTTTCCTTTTTCAGAGTCATGCAATTTCACTGTTGAAGATTTTTGTTGCCTTGGACTAATTTCTAAGGATTTAGTTTTTCTTGGTGCTATTGTGAATAGTATTTTTCCCTAATTTCTTTCTCATTGGATCCATTATTAATGTACAGGAACATTAGTAATATTGTTGCTTTTATATCCTGCTATATTATTGAATTTGGTTTTTAATCCTAAGAGTCTTTGGGTGGATTTTTGGGGCTACTTTATATGGTGGATCACAACATTTGCAAATAATGATCACTTCTTCCTTCCCTATTCACATCCTTCTTATTTCTTTTTCTTACCTAATTGCTATTGCTAATGTTTCGAGCCTAGTGTTGAACAGGACTGGTGATAGAGGACATGCTCATCTTGTTCCTGATGTTATCTGGAAAATTTCAGTTTTTCCCCATTTAATGTGATGCTTCCAGTAGGTTTGTCACAATGGCTTTCATTTTATTATTATTTTTGATGTATTTGGTACAGGGCCTCACTATGCAGCTTAGACTCATAGTGATTGTCCTGTTGTCAGCCTTCCCACACTGGGGTTACAGGCGTGCACCACCGTCCCGGTACTCTGTGGCCGGCTCAGAGCACCCAGGAGTGGGGCCAGGGTGGCATGTGATGCTGGGGATCGAACCCTCGTCCCTGTGCTTGCCTAAGCAGGTACTCAGTCCACAGAGCTATCTCACCAGCCCTTATGATTCATTTGTAAGATTTATCCCCAAAAGACTTGCAGCAGATAAGCAAGTTAAATGAGTAACAATTTTGGTGAGGGGCAGGAGGGGAAAATCACGGGAGCAGGAAGACAGCTTGCAACTTTAGCACATCATTTGAAATTATCGAACAAATAAATCCAGAATTTTATTTCTTTTCAGAGTTTGCAAAGAAGGCCTTTCAACCTAATATAAGTGTGGGCTTCTATACGATGGTGTGTGTGTGTGTGTGTGTGTTGAAGTTTAGCAGCGAGTCACTTTCTTTGCCATTAATGAAAAAAGTGTGCAGATATCACTGACTAAGCTCCATTCTAACACTTTTTTGAACCAAGAAATACATTTATTGAGGTGAAATTTGAATATCATGATAAAGCAGCCTTAGTTGTTCCCTTGCTCAGTTTTGGTGAACGCATAGTCCCCAGACCCCCAAAACATGGAGCATCTTTACATCCAAAAGTGTCCTTATGTCTCTCCAAATCATTTTTCCATTGCTAGTGAAAAATAATTAGATTTTTGTTACCATGAGCTTTGCTTCTTTCAGAATTACAAATTCCCATTTTATATAGTTAATTCTGTCTAACTTCTGCCACAAAAGCAATGTGGGTTTTTTTTTTTTTTTTGTGATACTGAGGGTTGAACTCAGTGCCTTGTGTTTGCCAGACAAGCGCTTATTCTACAGAGCTATCTCCCTGGCCCATAAAGCAATGTGTTTTTGACATTTATACACGTGGTTAAATGTAGCTGTAAGTTTTTCCTTTTCGTTGCCAAATAGTATTCCATTGTCTAAATACACTTCAGCTTGTTGATCTAGTTTTCTTCGACTTCTTTTTTTTTTTTTTTTAAGAATTAAAAGTTACCATTTTAATAGACCTTTCACATGTGTGAATAAATGACAATCAGTGACTATACAGTTCTTTGACTTCTGCCTGGATAATTTTCAGTTCTTTGTTTTATAAATAAGATAGTTTGAAAGTTTCTATAGGAGGCATTTTATAGGTGCAAACTGTAACAGCGCATGGATAAGTATCTCAAGTGAAATGCTGGATCATGAGACACGAGTCCAATGTTTAAGAAGCTTCCTTCCAGTTTTCCACAATGGTTGTACTATTTACATTCCTACCAGAGCTGTTAGAGTTCTAGTTATGAAACATTTAAACAATATTTGCTGGTGTAAACAATCTTGTGTTCACAATCTTTTGTGTCCATCATTTAGTGGCTATAAAATAATATCTCATTATTTTATACGTTCTTCTAATGGTTAATAATATAGTGCATTCTTATGAGCTTCTTGGTTATTTGTGTATCTCTTATACAACATTTAAGACTTTTATGTATCTCTAAAACTCTATTTTCCTTTCTTTCCTTTTTCCTCCTTTCTCTCTCCTTCCTTCTTTTGTAATTAGTGCTTTGTGTGTTCTAAGAAATCTTTGCCTCTTCTGAGGTCAGGAGGATGCTCTCTTACACACCCTCTAGAATACCTGTGCTGTGGTTTGGATGTCCTTTGAAGGCTTTCTCCAAGGGTTGGTTGTGGGAAGCGTGGTCCTCTGTGTGGCTTAAGTGAGGTGGGGAACCTTTAAGAGGTGGAGCTTAGTGGAAGGTGGTGAGGCCAAAAGAGGCATTACCTCAGGAGGAATTAATGTAGTTCTCACGGAAGCCCACCCCCAGCAGTAGCCTCCCCACAGTGAGTCCTTCCGAAGTTCAAGCCTGCCCTGAGTCTCTCTCTGGCCTTGGTCTCGTCATGTGGTCCTTGTTGCACACGCATCTATCACCAGGCTCTCCTCAGAGATCAAATGGTTGCGGTCTCCCAATCTTAACTTTTAGTCTCCAAAACTGTAAGATAAAACTCTTCGCTTTTCTGTAACTATGGAAAATGCATTAATACTTTTTAATTTTAGCTTTTATATTTAGATCTGATTCATCTCAATTTAAATTTTATATAATGTGAGGTAGGAACTGAGGTTGTTTTTTTTTCTATGTGAATGTTAAATGTTTTATAAAGATTTTGAGCCAGGTGGTGACTATCTGTAATTCAAGCACTTGGGAGGCTGAGGCAGGAGGATTGCCATGAGTCTGAGACCAGCCTGGACTACATAGTAAGTTCAAGGTCAGCCTAAACTACAAAGCAAGACCTTGTCGTAAAAACAAACAAACAAAAAATTAGATTTTGCTTTTCTCATTGAATCACTCTGTCATCCTTTTTGAAAATCATTTGGTCATATATGTGAGCATCTATCACTGTACTCATTACTTTATTTCATTAACCTCTTTGTCTGACCTCTTATCAAAACCATATTGCCTTAATTACTTAATTATAAGTCTTACAGTCAGATTAAATATAATACTTTATCTTGAAATCCTCCTTTTACAAGCATCAACCTGTCCCCTAAAATTAAAGATACCATAAGATGTCCATGCCACTTACTCTCATAGCAAGTTGTGAGTGCTGTGACCGTCATGACATCCTCCTACAGCTGTGCCACGTGAGAATGCGTACACTGAGTGCTTCCCGCCCCATAATTATTTTCAATCTAAAGACAGATTTTCACTATGTGTATAGCTGAAGCTGGCCTTGAACTTGCCATATAGCCCAGCCTGCCCTCAAATTTGCAGTCCTCCTGTCTCCCCCTGCTGAGTGCTA